TAACACTGAATCATATGTAATATTCTAGACTGGCCATGCATAAAACTGAACAAATATCTGTTCAAAAATACCATGTAGAGTGAAAATAAATATAAACAAATGACAAATAAATTATGAAAATCATTTTATGAGAAAATGTAGTTTGAAAAATTTAATAAAATTTTTGAACTTAAACCGCAGAGTGAGTGTAATGTTAAATAGCAGAAAAACTAAGTCCATTTATAAATAAAAAGAAGGATTTTCGTTTTTTAAATTTACTTCCGGATACTACATTTTGTATCTTATGAGCATAAACAAGCTTCTGTCCAAGTTTGGTAGAAATCTAGGATAGTTTAATAAAATTTCAATAAATTGCTTCGCCGAGCACAGCTGGATACAACCGCAGAGGTCAAACCCTGAACAGTTGGGGCAAAAATGGACACAATATTCGCACTTGATACAGGTCTGAATTTGGATTGTAATTAAATATTTGACACATAATAGGTTTCTGACACAGAATAACTGTAGTCAAAGAACTTAGAATTGGTTATATGATTTGAATTTTTATTCAATTTTTTGCTATTGTGCAATACACCATGCTATTGCGAATTGATCCCCCCCCCTTACCCCCTCCATCAGACTAAAAAAATGGAAATACATTCTTTTTAATAAGTGGTTAAAGTTGGCAGGTACCAGTTTTGGTGTACCAGAACATGTGTCCCACGCAGAAATTTGGTTATAGTTAAGCATTGAGGCATATAATTGCATCATGTGGACTGAAAAAATAAATGAATGTAAATTCTAGGCTATTGTACTACACAAGTAAGTAGTTGCATACACAGGTTGGGGATTTCCTTCACAAATGTGTCTAATCAGAAGTCAAAATTGTGGTCTCCTCACTTGACGGCATCCAATCAAAGTGGGGAAAAAATTCAGTTTTATGTAAACAAAAATATCTTGAGATTTTGATGGTAAGGATAGGTTCGGACAAGGCTCTAATTCACTGAATATCATTTATCTCTTGAATTTTGCCTAAAATTCTTATCGGCTTTTAGCAGGATTCTGCAGGTGAGGATTAGATTGGTATCAAAGCATCACATTTTTTGCCTTATTTGCAATGCATTTATAAATTTTAAAATCTCCATGCTGGACAGACACCCAAATTTAAAGGTTTTCTATATATTCACATAAGCACTCACACATCTTAGTTACTTGAAACCATACATTTTATTTGTATATAAGCTTGAATGAATTTTCAAGAAAAATGAAATCATAAATCCATGAAATTCTAAAGATTTATTGTAAAATAACTGGTTTCTGTCACCTTAAGCCTAACCATGATTTTAACATATCACAAAATGTGCCTTTTTAAGAGTTCTACAGGTGTGTGGTGTTATATTTCTTTTATTCACAGTCAATGTATAGGTCTGTTTGCAAGCAAATAGTTTTTACATGGATTTTAAGAATTATCAAATATCAAGACAGATAACTCTGTATCCCAATACAAACAATGACACTCAATTGATTAGTTTTAAAATGATTGTGTTCACCAAACAATGATTTTATATCATAAAATATATAGAAATAGCAAGTACAAAGAGAGAAAAAGTAAAATAAGCCTCAGCATAGCACTATAAAAATCTGATTATACTGTATATTACCTGTTATAATGATTTATTTCACATGATATGGACATTTTCTTATTCATTTACTTTTTAACTATGAACATATGAATTCTTCTTTTTTTATAGGTCTACTACATAGTTGATACTGTAGAACAGGCTACAGAAATAAGAAAACTGGTCTCTCTCATCAGCAATAGTGTGGCAATTCTAAAATTTCAACATGCGGCCTACACAGCTAGCTCATGACATGCTAATAGCAAATATTATTTCAAAATTCCACTTTTATAAATGTATGAAACAAACAAAAAAATCATATTTTAATTTTTTGTTGAAATCGTAGCTAATGCCCCTTAGCTTTAATCTATACAAATATTGAAAGAAATTCTTATATTGATTGATTAATATTCAGTTGATTATGTCATGGATGTTGTAAGATTATAAGGGTATACACATGTAAAATTAAGATATTAATATAGTAATAGCCTTTAAAAAATTCATACCTTCAATTACATTATCAGATATAAATAAAGTATCTGTACAAAATTTTAACAAATCATTCAAATTCATTAAAAGCACTGCATTGAGAAAATCTTTCAAAATAAACAGAAAATTTCACCCGTAGTATACAAATTTCAAAAAGTAATAACTATATTACCAATATATAAGTGTGTAGTTATTTAACAGTATACAGTATTTCCAATTTGCAGATTTCATAGGCATTTATGAATTTTGTTATGACTCAGGTAAATATAAAATCTGGCCAAGAAAGAAAGTCCTACAGACATTCTTTGTTTACAATTTATAAGTTTGAGAAGGGAATAATATTAGTTGGCAGGATAAAACTAGTAATGATTCAATAGTCCATCCGACCAGCAGGCAATCTTAAAATTACTTGAACATAGTCAAAAAAGTAATTACAATTTTCTTTACTTCAACATTCATAAATGTCTATAAATAACTGTCTTCAAATGTATATATGAACATATAGATTTAACAAAATGATTATAACAAACTAATATAGATGGAGTAAAAATATAAACAAAATTTATTGCACCTTTATTGGTAAATTAAAAAAGGCATATGGTGCATACAACAGTGTTTAGCAATGGAAATTAAAATGAATTGTCGCACACACGCCATGCAGTAAACATTTTGACTGTTGCGGAAAGGGATCTTTTCGAATATCTTGATCCTTAAAAATATTTATTGACAATGAAGTTTTTTGTATCACAAAGGAAAACACTTTACACATACATATTATGTAGTATAAACCAAATCTACACATAAAGTGCATGGACACCGCTGCTTTATTACCGTTGTTTAAAACATCACAAAGAACAATAGTTACTATGTTGCTGCATAACAACAATCAGTTACTATCTGAAGAATTGAATGAAGGTTCGTTAGTGCTAACAGTGAAACTAACAATGTAATTTGTTTGATGTATTCTATTTTTATTTTATATAATTACTTAAATCTGACACTCAAGGTCTATTGTGAGGGCCACAGGGGAGATTAGTTTGATATAACTGACTGTGTTTACCCTCTTTATATAAAGAATTTATTATTATTATACCGTATAGCAGGTTATTTTCGCGAGGTGTTTATTTTTTCGCTTACTTTGGCGGATAAACAAAAATTGTGAAAATAAATTCCGTGAAAATATATGCATACATTGGGAAGTTTCGAAGTTAACATGGTTAAAGGATTTTGTAAACGATCTATTTTTTCCTGTCGGCAGATTCCACCTCTACATCAAGTGTATTACGATATATCTTCACTCGAGACAGTTAAATTTAAAAATTAAAACGCAAGGCTTGCCGAGCTTTTTAGATATTTAAAATTTAACTGTTGAGAGTAGAGAAATATCATAATACACTAGAGATAGTGGTTGAATCTGATTCTCTGGTGATTTTAAGACATAATCTAAGCAAGTTAATCCTTCCTTTTCAAAGATTTGCAGAAAGTTGTGATCTTTATATGTGACGTCATCAGGCATGGTCGCCATTTTTCATAATGTCACAATAGGAAATTTAGAAGAAATCAAGAAAATTTGAGGTCATAACTAAAATTTTGACCAATCATTTGTCGAGAATAGTTATTCACTAACTAGTGGGGACAACAAGTTTTTCACAATCTGTTGGGAAATGTGAAAATAGAGAAACAATTAGAGAAATCATCTTCCAAAATTTTTCAATTCTAGAAATGCTGACCTTTGACATTTCTCTATTGACCACAAAATCTTCTATCTATATAATTTTCATTCCAATTATGCTGTGTAATACAAATTATCGTAATATATAGCCATTCAGCTCTATAATCATAGTTACCAACTGACATGATATTCGCGTGTAATTCACGCTTTTTCAACGGTTTACACTCGAGGATTTTGTCACATGGCGTGTACACATGTTTCGCCACTTTACACACAATTACACGCTTTTTCGTTGTTTTGATTTTTTGGTTGTTAGTGATATCGCGATTCTCGGGTTTTTTCATTTTAGACAAAAAATACCGAAAATTTCGAAGTAATTGTATCGTCGCCATTGTTTTTTTTTTCATTATGGACGAACAGCAAAAGCCCTTAAGGTAAGTAGTTTGTGATTAGTTTTTACGATTTTGTGACTTTCTTTCTTTCAAATTCACTTAGGGGAAATGTCGACAGAAATAGGTCGCTTTCAGGACCAGTACCGTCATCTAAAGAGCTGATTGCTAAGAGAAAACGATGTGTACGTACCAAGATAAATTTCAAGATTTACAAATTATAAACTCCCAAATTTTGGGAGATCAAGTTTAAATTATAGAGAGACGAGTTAGCCATTGTGCACCCTATGTTGCAATCATAACAATACATGTGAAAGGAGAACTACAATGTAGTGATTTGATTAAGCATTTAACTTGCTAATGGTAATCAAATTATAAAATACTTTTCTTTTTCAGTTTCAAATCTAGCCAACAGATTCCCACAGACCAAAGGGGATGGAAATAAAACGGAACTGTTGGATCAGTTCTCATAGTACCAGCTGTCTTCTGATGAACTACCCAGTTTTGACCAGACAATAGCCTCAGAGACAATAGCAACATATATAGTTCGTTGAGAGCAATGGCAAAGATAATAGACGACATTTTAGATGGCAAAAAACGTTATGACACTCTTTCAAAGCTTGATCAAGCTATTCAAGTTTAGCCAAATATCAATTCTGACTGTGAGAGAACATTTTCAATTATAAAGAAATCTGCACTGAATTCTGATCAGAACTCGACAATGATATATTGTGTGCCTTGTTATCAAGTAAATGTAATCAAAATGGCAGTTGTTTTGAGTATGTGCCTAAGCCTAGGGTGTTGCTTTAAAAGCAGCAAAACAGACCACTGTTGGATACATTACAATAAAAGTTTACTCTAGAATATTGTTTTTATTATATATTAACAAATTTGTATAATCATGATAATGTGAAATTATGAACATTGTTCATATAAAAAAAGTCCGCATCTTCGTCGCGCGTTTTCACACCCTTTTTGACATGTCATGTCATGTCATGACATGATTTCTCATTGTCAGAGGTTGGCAAGTATGTCTATAATATAAAAATAAGAAGATGTGGTATGATTACCAATGAGACAACTTTCCACCAGAGACCAAATGACTTATAATACATGTTTATCTTTTTGACAAATTTGAAGGATCATATGACTTTAACGTATTAGAACTAAAGAATAGGGGAAGTGGGATTTCAATTCATATAGTAATAACAACAATATTAATATGTTAATTTGTTAGGAAATGGGATTATCATTGCAAGTTGTAAAGAAGGCCATAAAAACCAAACCAAAAAGGAATAGATAATTATAACTTTAACCAATGTAGCTTTTGTAACCATATCTTTCAATGAAAAAAAGCACTGACTTCTTTTAAACTCTTTAAGCAGCTTTAAATACTTAGAACTTTCTTTTACATTTCAAGATTCTGAAGTAACATTTTCATTCCTAAAAATATATTCATAAGTTGACTTCTTCCCTGTTTTGTTAAAATATTATATTCTGGACTATAGCGTACAATTGCATGAGCATTCTTTACATTTCCATTTTGAAGTTGCTCCCAGAACTGTCCACTTGCACGTAAAGATACAACAGTAACCTGCAAAAACAAAGTTAATCTTTAAATCTTTCAATTACTGCATTCATTGAGAGCAGAGCACAGGAGAGGCATTGTGCCCATGACTTCCATGAAGCAGCTACCCAATGAGGCCACAATTAAAAAAATGCAGGTTTCCCCACACCCCTACCCACATTGTTGTAGGTGGGTAGCTAGGTAGGTAGGTTTTTTTTTTTTGGTTTTTTTTTTATATCTTGATAATTATTTTTTTATACCCCACAGAGCAAAACAAATCCATCATGTGTATGTCTGGCACATATAACCATTTGTAGCAACTTTAATGTAAGTGTTAGAATGTCTACCCCTTAATTTCCTTTATATTAACATGATTTTTGAGTTTTAAATTATTAGAAAAATTTAAAAACTGCAAAGAATTTGGCCAGTCCCCCTTATCCTAAAGGAACATATTTTTGAAAAATATGAATGGACTATTTAATAATAAACTCAGAAAAAGAATTTGTCTGGTGATTTTTAGTTACCAAAACCAAAATTTAAATGACAAAAATTTTTTTTTACAAATTAACCCCTTCCCCTTTACACCCTTTTCCCAATTAAATTGGTGTAGATTGAATTATATATACCAAGTTTAACTATTTTCCTGGCACTCCTATATCAGCTGTTTATTTTAAATGTCTATAAATCTCCAGACAGGGTTGTCTGTTATTTAGGTGTTTCACCAAGTATTTTTCCCCCCAAAAGTGATCATGTGACATGTTTGTCAACAAAAGAAAACATGTGGTCAAGGAATTCATTTAATTTCTGGATTATACTGCTTTTAATAATTTAGTTTGGATTTATATGCATTCCATTTAAGGAACAGTTAAGCATTTGTATTTAAAAAAAAAGTTTGCAAACAATTTTTACTTTTCAATTTGACAAAACTGGGTCATGATCGTTCATTGGCTTGTTCAACCATGCAGACAAAGTAAATTATAAATCAATCAGCTGTCAAAAATATTGATCTACGCATCACATAGATTTTTCTACATCGATCGACTTTGGTTTAGTTTCTTGTCAAAACAATGTCGAATTATAAATCTTCTAGGCAAAACAATGTGTTTGGGACTCAATCAGGGACTCATGGGTTTCAAAAATGACGTGTCCAGCTCGATTTCCATGCGTCCAGGACGCGTATACGCGTCTTAAGGAGAACCCTGAACATACAGGGTATCTGGACTCCTGTCTCCTGTCTGAGTCACCCTAGTTGTCAGAAACAAACAGATAAATAAACTCCTCATAGATACCAGGATTAAATATATAAAAGGACAGGGAACCAGTCTACCATGCCGGCAGGTACGCAAGTTCGTACCCGGATCCAGTCGTACCAGAGATATTTAAAAAAAAAATTCAACTCAGAACTCAAAAAATTTTGAGTCGGCGGCTATTTTCTCAGTCGGTCGGGGCGTGGGGAAACAAACTTAATTTTAATTTTGGCCTGACAAAAATAACATTTTAATTTTATTTTGGTCCATTTTTTCACTTCCATGACAGAAAAGACACTTTAAATGCAGTTTGATGGAGATGCTGAATGTTGGGATTCAATGAACTAACCAGTAACTATACTAGAATGAACACAGTTCAGGATATGAAAGTCTACCATGAACAATCCAGTTTTTTATCCAAGCTTTCAATGAAGTGGCATTGATAATATTTTTCTATTAACCATATGTTCTTCCGTACATGACAGGGCTAAAACTGTACCTGCAACGGGTTCGCACCCACATTCAGTCGTGCCAGCGTTGACAGGCTAGTTATACTGTAGATGAACTACTTTGACCAATCAGCTATAGAGACCACTTTAGTATCTGAGAAATGAAACAAACTGCAAAAATTTAACATTGTCCAATGAACCATAAAAAAATAAATGGAGAATGTGTCTATGGGACACAAATGATGCACCTGCTTCCATATAATTTTATAAAGGGGCATAACTCTAGAAAGGTATAATTGATGCCACCCAAATTCGAACTAGATCTATGTTTTTGTGGTAATAAGTATTGTGTATAAGTTTCATAACATTTGGTCGATATCTCAGAAACAGACCTAACAAAAACTTATTAACATTGACCCATGAATCACAAGAGTGCACACGCTGAAATGTCTCGCCTTCTTTACTAATCATTGATATTATGTTGATAGTCCTAAATACAAAGCTTTAGTACAACTGTCACATAAACTTAACATTAACCAAGTAAACTAAACATTGACCGATGAACCATGAAAATGAGGTCAAGGTCAGATGAACCATGCTAGGCAGGCATGTACAGCTAACAATTCTTCCATACAACAAATATAGTTGACCTATTGCTTATAGTTTAAGAAAAACAGACCAAAACACAATAACTTAACACTGAGCAATGAACCTTGAAAATGAGGTCAAGGTCAAATAAAACCTGCGAGACTGACATATAGATCATAAAATATTTCCATACACCAAATATAGTTGAACTATTGCATATAGCATTAGAAAAATAGACCAAAACTCAAAAACTTAACTTTGACCACTGAACCAAGAAAATGAGGTCAAGGTCAGATGACACCTGCCAGCTAGACATGTACACCTTACAATCATTCCATACACCAAATATAGTAGACCTATTGCATACAGTATAAGAAAAACAGACCAAAACACAAAAACTTTACTATAACCACTGAACCATGAAAATGAGGTCAAGGTCAGATTACACCTGCCAGTTGGACATGTACACCTTACAGTCCTTCCATACACCGAATATACTAGACCTATTGCTTATAGTATCTGAGATATGGACTTGACCACCAAAACTTAACCTTGTTCACTGATCCATGAAATGAGGTCGAGGTCAAGTGAAAACTGTCTGACAGGCATGAGGACCTTGCAAGGTACGCACATACCAAATATAGTTATCCTATTACTTATAATAAGAGAGAATTTAACATTACAAAAAAAACCTTTTTTTTCAAGTAGTCAACCATGAAAATGAGGTCAAGGACATTGGACATGTGACTGACGGAAACTTCGTAACATGAGGCATCCATATACCAAGTATGAAGCACCCAGGTCTTCCACCTTCTAAAATAAAAAGCTTTTAAGAAATTAGCTAACGCCGCCGCCGCCGCCGCCGGATCACTATCACTATGTCGAGCTTTCTGCGACAAAAGTCGCAGGCTTGACAATAAAAATGAAGTCAAAATTATGGAAAGCCAACAGGGTAAAAATTCTTAATTCGTAAATTGTTGTTAGAATAATACGATGATGACATTTAAAGAATCAACATGTTTCAAGTTGCAAAACATCAATATACAAATTTCAGCGTGTCTATGGCAAATATTTAAGTGACGTTGTTACAAATGAAGAATGGCAAAATTCAAAATAGTATACGAATGTTAGATTTAATGTATTAAAAAGTCGCAAATAAAGAATTTCAAAGTTGCAAATACAGATTTTCAATATATGAATTTTGAAAGTACACAGTTACAAGTGGCAAATTGACAATTTACAAATTAAGAATTTTGACCCCATTGGCTTTCCATACAAGATAAGATGAAACCTGCTAGACAGACATGTACATTACATAATTATTTCATACACCAAATACAGTTGCCCTATTGCTTATAGTATCTTAGATAAGGATCTGACCATGAAAAATTAACCTTAATCACTGATCCATGAAATGAAGTCTGAAATCTGTCTGAAGGACATGTTGACCTTGCAATGATCCCAAATATAGTTATCCTCATAATAAGTGAAACATTCACATTTAATACCTTTGTGCCTTGTACAATTAGTCCATATACACCATTTAAACCAAAAACGGATGAGGGAAGTGCAGCTATCATTTCACCTGTATGTTGCCCCTTCAGACTAGAATCTATATGACCAATCATGCTAGATGTTTTGTCTCCACTTCGTGTCCTCCTTTCTGTTGTTTCACTTAAACCTCTGCTGTATTCTTTTTTGACCTGAAATGAAATAAAACTCATAAGAACTGTTTTATTGGACTAAAACACATGTCTGTTTTTGCTCTAAGGAAGTGAATCCGATAATGAACCTCCATAGAGAGGTTTTGTCAAGGCCGTTTAGAATATATATATGGGTTAGGGATGGGGATCTGAAAACTTTTCAAAATACATGTATTTGTAACTTGAGATCCTAACATGACTTTTAAAAATATTCATGGTTAAGGGACTGGGCCTTCAATAGGTCGTGATATAATATATTGAACAATTAAAAATATCAGAGGGAAAAAATAATAATAATAAAATATCAGAGGGACCACAGGCTATAACCAAAGGCCAAAGCATAAATTACACTGCAAAAATATTGTCATATCAATTAAGAATATAAATAGAAAAGGGACATGAGGGATGGTACCAGTATCTCAAAATTTTCCAAGTTCTTTAACGATTTAAGATATGAGGGCAGGACATGACCACTGGGGACAAAACCTATGGTACACTAAAAAGACCTAAATAACTGGAAACTGACTTGTCAAACAAGGGCCCCACTTGCACGGTTTTGTGTGAGGAACAGAGACTGATGCATACAAAGCAATTCATGTTCAATATAGTTGTCAATTTAGGTAGAACTCCTTAGTTAGGAATTAAAATTAAAATGGACCCAAAAATGTTTAAATATGTAAATTATTTACATAATCATCCTCTTTACAGTGCTTTTTAATAAATACGGTAAATTAAGCTAACTGCTAGTGTCATACATTTGCATATTCATTATCTTCCATAGATTTAATTCTCAATGGTCAAAGTTAAAATAGTGAGAGAAAAAAATGTTTGTGTTTCCATGGAAACATTCTGCATATTTATTTGCCATAAGACATTACAATAAAATGCTCCGCAGGGCGCAGCTTGATACGACCGCAGAGGTCGAACCCTGAACAGTTGGGGCAAGTATGGACACAACATTCAAGCTTGATAGAGCTTTGCATTTGGATTGTGATTAAATATTTGACACAGCATAGGTTTCTGACACAGAATGAATGTGGTCTAAGAACTTAAAAATTTTAAATTGGACATTCACTTATTATGGTCCAATATCCAAAATCTAAATACATGGTTAGATTCAGCATATCAAAGAACCCCAAGAATTCAATTTTTGATGAAATCAAACAAAGTTTAATTTTGGACCCTTTTGACCTCAATGTGGACAAAGTTGATAACGGGGCCCAAAAATCAAAAATCTAAATACATGGCTAGATTCAGCATATCAAAGAACCCCATATATTCAATTTTTGTTGAAATCAAACAAAGCTTAATTTTGGACCCCGATTTGGACCAATTTGAAAACTGGGCCCATAATCAAAAATATAAATACATGTTTAGATTCAGCATATCAAAGAACCCTAAGAATTCAATTTTTGTTAAAATCAAACTAAGTTTAATTTTGGACCCTTTGGACCTTAATGTAGACCAATTTGAAAACGGAACCAAAAATTAAGAATCTAAATACACGGTTAGATTCGGCATATCAAAGAACCCCAATAATTCAATTTTTGATGAAATCAAACAAAGTTTAATTTTGGACCCTTTGGACCTAAATGTGGACCAATTTAAAAATGGGGCCCAAAATCCAAAAACTAAATACACGGTTAGATTCAGCATATTAAAGAACCCCAAGAATTCAAGAATAAAACCCCATTGAAATTGGTCAAGAAATAAGCAATTTATACGAAGTATCTTCTTTTGTACAATACTGTGCAATTAAATATTTCTTGCTATTGCGCAATACTGTACAATTGACAATTTCTTGCTATTGCACAATATTGTGCTATTGGATATTTCTTGCTATTGCGCAATACTGTGCAATTGAAGATTTCTTGCTATTGCGCAATACTGTGCAATTGAAGATTTCTTGCTATTGTGCAATACTGTGCAATTGAAAATTTCTTGCTATTGCACAATACTTATTATATAATAATTTACACATCCTGTTTGGTGTGTATCTCCTACCATATCATTATTATTTGCTTTTAAATATAAATCAGAAATAACCAACTTAAAATGGAAAATTTTAAAAGAAAAAAAAAAGGAAAAAAAGAAAAAAAAGGAAAAACCCCCCCCCCCCCCCCCCCAATTTTTTTGAATCCCCTTATGATTCATCACCCCCAAACTCAATCCCAGCCTTCCCTTTGTGGTATGGTACCTTGCAGTACAATTTCAGAGAGATCCATACACTTGAAAACAAGTTATTGTTTGGAAACTAGAAAAATGTGTTTTTTGGCCCCTTTTTGGCCCAAAATTCCTAAACGTTTAGGGCAATTACCCCAAAACTCAAACCCAGCTTTCCCTTTGTGATATGGAACCTTGTAGTACAATTTCAGAAAGATCCATACACTTACACACAAGTTATTGTCCTGAAACTAGAAAAATGCTTGTTTTTTGCCCCTTTTTGGCCCCTAATTCCTAAAATATTGAGGCAATTACCCCCAAACTCAATTCCAGCTTTCCCTATGTAAAAGGGAACCTTGTAGTACAATTTCAGAAAGATCCATACACTTACACACAAGTTATTGTCATGAAACTAGAAAAATGCTTGTTTTTTGCCCCTTTTTTGGCCCCTAATTCCTAAAATTTTGAGGCAATTACCCCCAAAATCAATCCCAGCATTCATTTTGTGATATGGAACCTTGTGGTACAATGTCAGAGAGGTCCATACACTAACACACAAGTATTGTCTGGAAGTTACAAAAATGCTTTATTTTGGCCCCTTTTTGGCCCCTAATTCCTTTAATGTTGGTACCATAACCCCCAAAATCAATCCCAACCTTCCTTTTGTGGTATTGAACCTTGTGGTAAAATTTCATAGAGATCCATTCACTTAAACTATAGTTAGAGTGCGAAAACCAATGTGTCTAGGACGACGCCGACAACGACGACGACGCCAACGTCATACCAATATACGACCACAAAAATTTTTTTGCGGTCGTATAAAAAGGGCCATGAAAATGTCACATTTCCCCAAAAAATTTTGATATCCATTCTGAAACAATTGACATTTATCTAAATTTCTTCGCCTAATGCAGCTGGATACGACCGCAGAGGTCCAACCCTGAACAGTTGGGGCAAAAATGGACACAATATTCCCGCTTGATACAGGTCTGAATTTGGATTGTAATTTAAAAATATTTGAAACATTATAGGTTTTTGACTTTTGAATTTTTCAAAGACATTGATGATTTAAACCTATAATATAAATTTTACAGAGTTCTCGAAATCTTTTTTTTCCTGGTGGTCATTGGGACCACCAAGGCTAAAAATCTGGTGGTCCTTGAGAAAATCTGGTGGTCCTGTAATTTTACTTGAATTTATCAAACACCTATTAGTTACATGAAAGTCATTGCTCAATACTATATTAAGGTTCATCATAACAAATGGACAAAAAAGGCTGTGTTTAGACCTCAAAAACTACTCCGAGTTCAGACTAACCTGTGCCGTTGGAAAAGTTTTAAGGCCTGGCATCCACTAGATATATAAAAGTTAAATGCATTTTTTGTTTCAGAATGATAAAATCTTTTTTGGATTTTGATGAGCATTTTTTTTCGTTCCTGCAGAAGGTGTAAAAATAAACTAAGTTGGGATACAACTTTATTTGAGATGCTCCCTCTCATGTTATATAAAATGCTCCGCTGGGGCGCAGCTTGATACGACCGCAGAGGTCGAACCCTGAACAGTAAGGGCAAGTATGGACACAACATTCAGGCTTGATACAGCACTGAATTTGGATTGTAATTAAATATTTGACACAGCATAGGTTTCTGACACAGAATGAAAGTGGCCTAAGAACTTAAAAAATTTAAATTTACCTATTCAAACCATATCATTATTATTTGCTTTTATATATAAATCAGAAATAACCAATTAAAAATGGAAAATTTTAAAGAAAAAAAAAGGAAAAAAAAATCCCCCCCTCCCAAATTTTTTGAACCCCCTTATGATTCATCACCCCCAAACTCAATCCCAGCCTTCCCTATGTGGTATAGTACCTTGCAGTACAATTTCATATGGATCCATACATTTGAACACAAGTTATTGTCTGGAAACTAGAAAAATGCTTGTTTTTTGGCCCCTTTTTGAACCCATATTCCTAAACATTTAGGGCAATTACCTCCAAACTCAAACCCAGCTTTCCCTTTGTGATATGGAACCTTGTAGTACAATTTAAGAAAGATCCATACACTTAAACACAAGTTATTGTCCTGAAAATAGAAAAATGCTTGTTTTTTGCCCCTTTTTGGCCCCTAATTTCTAAAATTTTGAGGTAATTACCCCCAAAATCAATCCCAGCCTTCCCTTTGTGGTATGGTACCTTGCAGTATAATTTCAGAGAGATCCATACACTTGAACACAAGTTATTGTCTGGAAACTAGAAAAATACTTATTTTTGGCCCCCTTTTGGCCCCTTATTCTTAAATCTTTTGGGCAATAACCCCCAAACTCAATTCCAGCTTTCCCTTTGTGATATGGAACCTAGTAGTACAATTTCAGAAAGATCCATAGACTTACACACAAGTTATTGTCATGAAACTAGAAAAATGCTTATTTTTGGCCCCCTTTTGGCCCCTTATTCTTAAACGTTTTGGGCAATTACCCCCAAACTCAATCCCAGCATTCCCTTTGTGGTATAGTACCTTGCAGTACAATTTCAGAGAGATCCATACACTTGAACACAAATTATTGTCTGGAAACTAGAAAAAATACTTGTTTTTTGGCCCCTTTTTGGCCCCTTATTCCTAAACATTTAGGGCAATTACCCCCAAACTCAAACCCAGCTTTCCCTTTGTGATATGGAACCTTGTAGTACAATTTAAGAAAGATCCATACACTTACACACAAGTTATTGTCCTGAAAATAGAAAAATGCTTGTTTTTTGCCCCTTTTTGGCCCCTAATTTCTAAAATTTTGAGGTAATTACCCCCAAAATCAATCCCAGCCTTCCCTTTGTGGTA